AATCATTTTTCTCCACTAGCACCACTCTAGCCCAAGTCACCTTTATCTTTTACCTCCATTAACTTCATATTGTGGTTAGGAGAAAATCTAAACTTATTAATATGATTTAAAAGTCATAAACAATCTGGCCCCTGCCTTATTTTGGATCTCAGCTTTTACCAAAGTAAAACTCTCAACAATACGCTTCAGCCAAATAAGCCAACTTCATCCTGGCCAAAAGGCCCCTGTATTTGCTGCTGCTTCTGCCTAAAGGCTCACTCCCTCTGGCTCTTTACTAATTGATTCCTTATCCAGGTGTCATGGCAAGTAACAACAGCGGTTTTGCTTTCCTATTTCTCTCTCCCAAACACTCATAACCTGACTAGACTCTCATATCAATCTGCTATATTTCCTCATAGTATTTATGCCTATACCTTATTTTATTTATTGACTATTGGTCTGGCCTTGCAGACTAAACTCCAGGAGAACAGCAACCTCATTTGCTTTAATGATTAATCTCCAGTAGCTGGAGATTAATGGTCAGCCACTTATTACATACTTAGTAAGTATTAAGTAAATAAATATAGTTAAGGTTCAATAAAGAGCCCAAAGTTCTAAGACACAATTCCCCCCATCTAAAAATAGGAATGAGAAAGCAGTAGAGTTGGGCCCAGAAATCTAATAATAACAGGCTGTAAAGAGATTCATAGTTAGGGACAAGAGTAAGATATGAACAAATACCAAAACACTACATGTTTTCATGATATATCTTAATATTAACTAATTGTTTTTATTTTTACAGGTTGTATAAAAGAAAGAATATGTATTCAGATTAGTGTCAATTTCGTTTTTCCCCCCCATTGGACCAGTATACTTCACGTATATCACCATCCAGTGTTATTTGGCCAACTATCAAAGACAATATATTAAAGACAGCATTTCCAGCTGTGCTTTTAAAGGTACTTTTTTTGTTATCTAAAAAGTTAATTATTTTAGAAAACAGCTAGAAACAACTAAATTAGCTAAAATTATTAATAATGCCATATGTTGAAAGAAAGGTCAAGAGAAAAAACTTGGGCATTATAACATATCCCTGCCATAAGAAGGCAGAGAAAGTCAGAAGCATACCTAAAACAAAAATACAGAAACTAGCGTTGACTGCCTGCTCAGAGAAAAGCCTGCGCACCTTCTGTTCTTAAGCAAAATGTTAGCAATCATTTATACATGGAATTTCCAAATAATTATTCCTTGCAAGCCAAGTCCATGATTAGAAAGAGGCTTCAAAATATTTGAGGTGGAAGTGGAGAAAATAAGAGAATGCATATATTCATTTAGGAATTTAAATGTATGTTTAATATAATGTAATAATATAATGTATATTTAAAATGTACATTATAAATATTAAGATACAATATCATTCGTCATGGAAAACAATGTCAACTTGTACATTTATCCTTGCAAATAAGGTTGGCATAGATTAAAGCCATAGTGGCATCCTTTTTACTCTAACATGACTAAATTTATGATCGTAGCATGAAGTTTGAACAATTCTTAAATACTTAAACTTATCTTTCACTAGGTACCTGAAGAGAATTCAGCAAGAACTTTAGGAAAAACTACTGTCTAGAGTTTATCAGGAAAATGTTTTAAAAAATTTTTTTTCAGTTCTACTTTTGAGAGTCAGCAAATAGTCCAGTTTCAAATAAAAACTCATGAATTTAACTAATCCTCACCATGCCCCATAAAATCTGAAGGGTAAATACAAACACCCAGAATGCTGCAAGGTATCAAAAAAACTACCAAGAAAAAATTGATACATTATCTAAGCTAAAAGCAAACAGAATTAGAGACAACTTTGTCTTTAGTTGAGACTAAATTGAAAAGTAGGAAAAGGCCAGGCACAGTGACTCACATCTATAATCCCAGCATTTTGGGAGGCCAAGGTGGGTGGATCACCTGAGGTCAGGAGTTTGAGACCAGTCTGGTCAACATGGTAAAACCCTACCTCTACTAAAAATCCAAAAAAATTAGCCAAGCATGGTGGTGTGCATCTGTAATTCAAGATACTCAGGAGGCTGAGGCAAGAGAATCGCTTGCACCCAGGAGGCAGAGAGGTTGCAGTGAGCCAAGGTCACGTCACTGTACTCCAGCCTGGGCAACAAGAGCGAAACTCCGTCGCAAAAAAACAACAAAAGAGAACCAACGATTGCTGAATAACTAACATCCTAACAATGAAACAAAGTTTTAAAAAGTGGAGGGAAAAACTTTAACAGATATTTTCCCCTTCTAAATATTGGTGTCAAATATAAAGTGCGTTAACTACAGCGATGTATTTGTTTTCTTTTAAGGCACGTGTATTAAAACAAGCACCCAAATTTTTAACAATATTTTTGCTTCTTTAGTGAATGGATTCTTAAAATCTTACTCAAAAAAGTAAAATGCAATCTCATAGATTTAAACATCAAAAACAAAGAAGCAAAACAAAGCTATTTCCCAGGGAGTGACCACTAATTTAAGCATGGGCCCAAAACAACACTTAATCTAACAGAAAGTTCATAATTTCATGAAAATACTTCAGAAATTTAAAGATGAAACATTTTCCCACAAAATCTAAATAAACACCCTAAGTTCTAAACTAAAAAAAACAAAAATCTCCTATTTAAACAATAATTATACCAGGGATAATTATATGACTTCTATACAGTAAAATACACGTAAATACATATATAACCTTATCTATTTAACCTTAACAGCTTTCAGAGAGAAAAATATACTAGAAATTTATAATTATGTTCTGTACATTTGTAATTACACTACACTATTTTAAAATAAAAATATTCAAACATTCTGAAAATGTCAAAATCTCTTATCTAAGAAACATAGCTATATACAATAAGGCACAGAAATTAAACATTTTTACAGAATTTAATTCTAAAATAACACTTATTTCTCAGAGAAAATGACCTCATAATGTTACAATCAACCATTCAATTATCTATGTCTAACATTATTAAACTGTATTTCTTCTTGCCCAATAATGAAAAGCAGAGAAAACCCAATACCACTAAAATTAGTCATTTTCTCTAGAAGTAATATTTCAACCCAAATGGTAGATATCCTACTTACTGAGCTACCTGAAAATACCTCATGCTTGTTTAGAAGCCATCTTCCCAAGAAACCTGATGAACAAAGCCCTCTGGAACCAGACTGCAGGGCTTCAAATCCCAGCTTCAGCACTTATAGGCTATGTTACTTAACCTCTCTGAACCTTGACTTTTTCACCCACAAAAAACATAGGTAATACTACTTACCTCACAGGATTGTCTGAGAGAAGGAAGTTACTAAATATAAATCACTTAAAATAGAGTCTGATACATAGCAAATATTCAACAGATGTTAGTTACTATCTGTATAACATTACAGTGTTTGGTACACACTAATTGCTCAATTAACACTTGCTAAATAAATGGTGTACAGAAAAAAATGTAGTTTTCACAGCAATCAGAATACACCTAATTTTCACAGCAACCATTTAAATCTAACTACAAAAATATTTTAAAATTATTTGTCTTATTTAGACCGGGCATGGTGGCTCATGCCTGCAATCCCAGCACTATGGGAGGCCGGGTGGGTGGATCACTTGAGGTCAGGAGAACAAGACCAGCCTGGCAAACATGGCGAAACCCCATCTCTACTAAAGGTACAAAAATAATTAGCCAGGTGTGGTGGCTGCATGTCTGTAATCCTAACTACTTGGGAGGCTGGGGAATGAGAATCACTCAAACCCAGGAGGCAGAGGTTGCAGTGAGCCAAGATCACATCACTGCACTCCAGCCTAGGCAACAGAGTAAACCTTCACCTGAATACAATTTTTTATACAGTATACATGTAATATAAAATAAAAGCTTAAAAAATAATATATAAAATAAAAACAAATTATTTACACAGTTTAGCCCAATTCAGGAAGTTATTTTGTAATCACACATTATTAAGATAACTGAAACATTATTTCATTCAAATATGTAAGTACTAAAGCTAAATATTGGGGTATAACAACAAAGAGACAGTTCCTGAGTCATAGAACCTTGTGCTAGTAAGAAACTTAAAGTAATTAGCATAATTTAAAGGAAACTCAGAAACCTTTAGTCCGTACCCTTCATTTTTAAAATGAGGACCCTCAAGTCCAGAAAAGTTAAGTGGTTTGGCTAATGGTATACAGCTAGCAGTTAAGGGTCAAGACTACAACTCAGGTCTTATAATTCCCACCCTAATTCACTGTACCATACTGACTCAAAAGTACTCAATATGAAACAGAGATTAGGATCCTGATCTGCCACTAACAAAGCCCTTCTAAATTATTTATTTATTGCATTAATGCAAATCAAATAAACTTCAAGGGAGTTACAAGCAGCAAAAAATATATAACCTTATAGAGAAACATTAAGTTTATCGTGCCCCGGTGGTTCCCTTGTGAAGAATACCTTTTAGTTTGTAATTAGTGGTAGGTGGGTAATAGCTGCCTACGTGGTATATTTTTGAGTTATGAGTAAATACAGAAAGCCTATTTATTAATAAGAATCACCTGTTTAAGAGAGAATAAATACATGAAGCAGAATCTGCTTGGGCCTTCAGCCTGGAAGGCTGTTAGCCCCTGAGGCTCTCAGCTAGATAGGCTGCTGGCCCCCTGGATAGATCTACTTTGCTGTTCTATCTGGGTGTCTGCCTCTCATTACCTTCAGCACCACGTAGGTGGGGGTCTCCCGACTGAGCTAGTATTCGGTATAACCTATTATGATTACTTAAAGCACCTGCAGGGTTGCTGAATTAATATAATAGTCCTTACGTCAATTAAAAGCCTGCTTCTAGTCTATCAGATTAGATGTCACATTCTCAGCCCCTAAGCTGTATTTCCATTTTCATTCATTCCCAGATACAAAAATAAAACACAATTTATATTGTACTGCTAAGTGTGCCAGAAATATGAAAGGAAAAAAGAATCTGCAGAGTAAGATTATATTTACCTTAAATGTACCATTTTGATTTTTCATGTAAGAAACCAAAAATATATCCACCGGGAGAAGTGCTGATGTGATAAGTGCAATTGCTAAAGAAAAAATTGCTGTTATGGTGGAGACAACTTCACTTTCCCGTTGACTTTGATATTTACGAACATATATCCAGCAGAATGCCAAAATAGCCTGAAATAGAACAAAAAGAGATGTCTGTTACTACCCGATGTATTTATCTGATTTTTGTATGTGTTTGAAAGTTTCTAGCAGGAAACCTTATGTGAAATAAAGGTTATTTTAATTGTGTAAGGAAAGCCCACTATCCCTTAAAAACTTGTCCAAGATGTATAATCTTCAAAGCCTATTTCATGAATGCAGTATATCACATAGGTATACACACACAATACTATTAGAAAGAGTGCTCACTTACATATTCCCTCACCAAACACAGTGCAGACATTAATGGTTTCACACATCATAGTTACAACTAGCTTTGAATATATTTTTTCCCTGTAGATTTTTCCAACCTAAAGGAGATATGAGTAGAAGTTGTTCTATCCTAGCCTTATTACTGAAGCATTACAGAATATAACTTAGATGAAAACTAACTTCTGTTCTGACAGTTCAAGAACAGCATTCAGCTAAAGATTAACTGCCAGTAATCACCATGCAATTATCATATTATAATTTAAATTTTAAAGAGCATTAAACAAAGAAAAGTCAACGCTGAAAATGGATACATGTGCACAGCGAAAAGCTTGCCAGTGAAAAAAGTTCACTCAGAGGTAGAGGGTGACATCTCTAGTCAACCAGTTACTCTTAATACTTACCAATGCCATTCTAGTGACTATCACAGAGTAAAGGACTTAATGACTCTCTAACTTTAGGAGGCTTTGGAATCACTTGCAGCAACTGTTACAGCATAGATTGTTAGGCCCCATCCTCTGAATTTCAGATTCAAGAAGTCTGGAGTGGAGCTAGAAAATTTGTATTTGTAACAGCTTTCCCAGGTAAGGTTGCTGCTGGTCCAGGGCTATAGTTTGAGAACTTCTATTCTACTCAATTACAGGGAGTTGCAGACAGAGACTAAGTTATTTCAGCCTCCACAGTGAGTCAGAATCACCTGGGTAACCTTTAAGTACCCTTATACCTTCCCTACATTCCCCAATCAATTCTATCAATGGAGGAGAATAAGGCGCCTCCTGGCATCAGTACTTTAAATGCCTGAGGATTTCAATTTGAGCCTATCTTGAGAACCACTGTAAGAGCTCTGTACTTTTAAAAGCCCTGTTTTGTCCTTTCACTTTTCAACAGATTCATCTGTTATTTTCTTTCTGAGCATCCTATAGTTTAGAGGCCTAACTGAAACTAATAAAACTACCAAACTAGTTTTGCAGCTTCCAAATTATTCTACCACAAGCAAGACACAAGAACAATTCCATTATCTCAGAAAATTCCTTTGTCCCTTTTAGTTAATCCCTCTCTCTGCCTCCAGCCCTTAAGACAGGAATAATGCAGGATGGTCACAAGGGTTAAAAAAATTCCAGGCAGCAGTTTTACATGACTAGAGACTATGGGCTAATAAGACCCTGAAAAACCAGGATGTGGACCAAGCTGGTTGAGACCCACTGGACCTAACATGACAATGGATCTGACCCAGGTTTCACCTAGGACCTCGTTATATGCTCATTAACGTGCTCAATCACACACCTACCAGCACTATGGTAGTTCCAAGACCACTCATATTTGATGTAAAAATGGGTAGCACCACAATTTCAAGAAACCTCTATCTTTTTCTAGGAATTTTCATGATTATATCCCTTGATTAAAGAAACCCATAAAGGTAGAAACTGCAAACCCCATTGTGTGTGTCTCTCTCTTAAGGATGCCCACACTTACCTTTCTTGAGTGGTACTTTCCCCTTTAATAAATCTCCATACTTTCACTATTTTTTTTACTTCCTCTGGGGTTGAGATCCCACCTATATTTGGAGATCTCCCTCATCCCTCCAGTATCACCCTGACAACTGCTATATATTCTCTGTCCGTATAGTTTCTGCCTTTTCCAGAATGTCATAATGCCTTCATACAGTATGTTGTCTTTTCAGTCTGGCTAGTGTCATTTGGCACAGTGCATTTAAAACCCATCCAAGTTGCTGCTTGTCATTCCTTCATACTGCTGGCCTTTCAACTGGTGACAGAATAGCAGGAAAAAAATTGAGAAGGGAGTTAAGACTTTAGAACAAACAAAATCTAGGCTCAAATTCTTGATTTTTGGGAAACAGTTATTTTTCATAAAATGTTACTTTACATTAAATTTAAATGGGCTTGTTTTTAAAGGAATTCATAAATATTTTTAACATTCCCCCAATTTATTTTGAAGTCTTTGGAAACTGAGCCTTATCTTTCTATCCTTAGTAGTACTTGACACAAAGTGTTCCAATTAATTTTTTATTGGATTTCAAGAATGAAAGAAAACCTGCATTTTGTAAGTATTACTACAAACAAAGGATTTTGCCAACATCAGTCAGACAAGCTGGGAAAGGGCAACCAGGAGGAAGAGTTAAGCCTGAGTCTCCCAAACTTTTTGCACTCAGGATCCCTTTACAATGGTTTTAAAACAGATAACCTTCAAGAGCTTTTTGTTTATATTGTCAATCATTACTGGTAAAATAAAACCAAGTATTCTCATCTAAAAGAATACTTCTTTCATAACAGATTATAAAAATTAAATGAGATATAAATAGTTTAGCACAGTGGCTGGCCACAGTAACTGCTTAACAAATAGTGGTAGTTGCTATTAGAGCATTTGATAAAAGAAACAAATATATAACTTTGTTAACAATTATAAGGAAAAGTTTTAAATACTCCCCTCAGCTTCTCCCAAGAGATTCAAAATAATTGGTCTTAACACTGAGATTTTAAAAACTCCCCAAGTGGTTCTCATGAAAGGCCAAGGTTGAGAGCCACTGGAGCAGAAGAAGAAATGAGTAGAGATGAATCTTTATTAAACTAATCAGAATAGATGATATACTGTCTGGGATCTTGTTAAACTGCAGATTCTGTTTAGGAATGTAGTAGGCATGGGGTCATATATTTGGTATTTCTAACAAGTTCCCAGGTGATGCCCACATTTTAAGGAACAAGAATAAATTCACTTTACAAAAATGAAGAGTCTCCTATTGTAATGACAAACACAATTTAAAGGTGGTGTGGGTCAAATTACAGAGGACACTGGAACTAGATAGAATAGTTTAGACTTGATACAGTAAAGACAGACAATTAGATTACAGGTATGGGGGACCAAATCTAACAATTTCTTATGTGTGAAGAAACTGAAGTCCATTTTTTTTGCCCAAGATCACAAAAGTAGGCAACATTCATGTCCTGATTCTTTTTCTTTTTTTGAGACAGGGTTTCTGTTGCCCAGGCTGCAATGCAGTTGCGTTATCAGAGCTCGCTGCAACCACTTTTGGGAACCGCCTCCCGGGCTCAAGCAATCCTCTCACCTCAGCCTTTGAGTAGCTGGGACCAAAGGCATTTGCCACCACGCCTGGCTAATTCTTTGTATTTTTAGTAGAGACAGGGTTTTGCCATGTTGCCCAGGCTGGTCTTGAACTCCTGAGCTCAACTGATCCACCTGCCTCAGCCTCCCAAAGTGCTGGGATTACAGGTGTGAGTCACCACACCCTGCCCATGTCCTGATTCTTTAATAGATGATTGGCCAAAGTTCTCCAAGTGTGAAATCCCTGGGCCCTGGTAGTCCCCAGAATCCTTTCTGGATATTCAGAAGTTGAAAACTCTTCTCATAATAATTACTAAGATGCTATTTGCCTTTTTCACCGTGCTGACATTTGCACTCATGGTTCATAGCCATGGTAGGTAAAGCTACTGGTGCGTTAGCAGGAATCAAGACAGTGGCACCACACTGCACCAGGAGTCATTGTATTATTCACCACAAGCTCAAAAAAGTACAAATTAAGACTATGCTTCACAAAGAAGTATAAATTAATTTTACTGAACTTCAATCCTTGACTCTTTTTAATAGTTTGTGAGGTAAAATATGAAGCATGCATACATAAAGTATTTCTGCTGCATAGCAAGATGTGACAGCCATCTCCTGGAAAAGTTTAGAATTAAAAGCCAAACCAACCAGTCTTCAAGCAACATCATTTTTATTTGAAAGAACAACTGCCGAACTATGGTTATTCAGACTTCGCTATTTGGCAGATTTTGTCAAATGAACAAAGGGAGCTTATCACTTAAAGACAAACTGACAGTATTTGATACCATTGATAAGAGGCAAACTTCCAAATGAAAATTGGACTTTGAAAGACTTCTATCCACCACTATGAGCTTGACAACCCTTCAATACTCAGAATTTTCAGAGACATTTCTGACAAGATCAGAAATGAAATATGATATTTTGAAATTGTGTAATGAAATGTATCCATATTTAAAAGATGTGCATAACCCAGTAAACAATATTTTCTAAATGACCAAAGCTTCATGTTATAAAACGATGCACGACGGGTAAAAGATCCATCCAGAGTGCAAGATGGGCTAATGGATTATTTTAATGTGACAATGAATGAAAAGCTCATTGATAGGGTTTCAAGTTCCATCTTGCAACTGACCTTTAAGAAGATTCCACCTGTTGAGCTTTGGTGTAGTATCAAAGAACATCCACCACAATTACCTGAAAAATACTCCTCTGTTGCTGACTACCTATCACTGCAGCTGTATTTTCTTCACACTTCGACTAAAATAACATACCCCAAAAGACTGAATGTAGAAGCCAACGTAAGAAACCAGTCTTTCTTCTAATAAACCAGGATTTAAAGAGATTTGCAGAAATTTAAACAAGAAGCCTTCTTCCTAACGCTTTTTTCTATGCCAACATGCAAGTGTCAAACTCCTAATTACCTTCTGATTTTAATAGTTCTTGCTGTAATATTGCCAACTTAAATGGCTTCCTTTTTTTCATTGGTCCAAACGCTAACACATCTCTCATTGTCTTCCAATATTTTTGTCTTTTCTCTTAAGTTCTATTTTATTTACAGTCATACTTTGGATTTCAGTACATAAAATACATGTTTCAAGAATTTCAGTTTTCCTACCTATCTCCAGACCCTCTTTAAAGCCATTTTTTGTTTCATTTACATCCTTACAATTCACACCACACAACCACTTCTGTACCTTCAATGTTTATTAATAGCTGCCAAGATAGTCTCCCTTAACTTTGACACGTTATATGCTTATTTATTTTCTTCTAAACAAACGGAATTAGATAGACTGGAAAAGCCAAGGTAAAGGCAGTGTTTTTAATCTGTGACAGTGATGGCAGTAATAAGAGAATCCATTTCTTAAATTTTCACACACCATCCTTTTTTCCTTTCTTCTTCTTTTTTTTTTTTTTTTTTTGTCTCTACTGCAAAAATTTACTAGAACATACTACGTAGGTACCAGATACCTACTGGAATCTGACAATTAAAGTAAAACCAAACAAGCCTGATTTCCAGAACTGGAGGTTTTGTTTTGCAATGCAAAAAGGTCAAAATACATTGGAACACAAAGTAACAACAGGCTCGGAGGACGAGAAAAGAAGATTTGAGAAGGTAGAGAGGTTATGAAAGGAAATAAATCGAACTCCCAAATAAAATAAACCAAAGGGTTTTAATATTAATAGAGAAGTAATAGCCAGGCCACTTTGGGCCATTTCAGTCTACATTTTGCTCACTACATGTACAGAAATAAGATCATTGGAAAAGAAAACACCTGAGGTCAGATAGGTAGTAGTATATACACCGATACTGGTGATAAAAAGGGCTACAGCTCTGCCCTCCACAGGCATCTACTCCCATCAAAAAAAGATTGGAAGAGAATGTGACACCTGGAAGTCAGAACGAGCAACTCACGTCATCAAGGCAGAATCACACAATGGACACAGAAGGTTGGAGACTCACTGGCCCCAAGCGTAGGGAACATTGGGGAAAAACATACAGAGAAGTCGACAAGTAAACAACGCCAGCGCTTACTTAACTTGCAAAGATCCAGCGCTGCCGCCCCACACCTTATGCCACTGTTTTACAGGGGACGAAAGGCCACTACATGCTTCTCAACCCCGAGAGTCTCTTTCGCCCCCAAACCCCACCGGCCCCATTGCCCAAGTCAGGGATGAGGGCAAGAGCTTCCAAAAAGGACCCTGAAACCTTAGACGTCATCAGTGAAAAGAAAGCAAAAGCGTCCGGAAATCAGCACCCTCCTGCCCCAGCCGCCAGCCCTAGCAGCCAACACTGAGGAGCCTTCCACAGTCCAAGCTAAAAGCGGGCGGAGCGAAGAGGGTCTCCGGGGCCCGGAGAGGCCAACTGTAGGGCCGGCCCCTTCCTCCCTCCGCCAGTGCAAACATTGGGAAAACTCCAAGCGCCTCCCCTACCAGTAGTAAGAGGCCGAAAATGCACCAGCCGATCACCAGCTCTGCCGAGGCCGCGGCAGCAGCCGCCATCTTCGCTTCCGGTCCAGACCGAACTGAACGCCAGGGGTAGGGTCAGGGAGGGGGAAAGGGGAGACAGCGTGAGTGACTCTGCACTCGCGCACCCTAAAGGTTAAAGGGGCGAAGGGGGAGGAGCAAGTGGTTGCCAAGGAGACACTCTACCCACTGGCGTCCCCTGGCGGCGAGCTGGGCGGTGCGGGGCAGCGAGGACTGCTCAGGGGCGGGGCGCGTCCGAACGCAGTGACGTCATCAAGCTGCCCGCGCGGGCAGAGATGTGGGAGGCGGGCAGAGCAGGGTGTGGGATCATAGCAGGGCAACCTTTTAGGAATATTTGACTCAGCCTAAGCTGATAGACTGGAAAAGCAAAGGAACTCCACAACAGGTGGGCTAGGTGGCCCTGGAGATCCAAGACCCTTGTGTAGGTGGAATATGTGTAATTAGCAGAACTCCTCACCAGGTTGCAAGAATGGCTGACTCTGCATAAAAGTTGACTAGCTACCTGAACGACTCTAATTTACTGGCACTGGTGCCCAGCTGGGATAATTGGTTGGCTGGACACGAACTTATCACATGATGTTATAGCCTTTCTACTTAGATGTATGCTTGCCTGTGAATATCTATGATAGCTTTGTAGGTAAAGGTGTATGCATCAGCCAACAAAACACACTGCCATAGGCCCGAAGTGAAGTGAAGGAGGAAATTCCTGGGATGGCTTAACCTGAGTCCACGGGGAGTGTGGGTGCTTGTTTCACCACTGATTTAAGCATGGCTTGTAATGTAGTCAAGATACAACTCTGTGAGAATGAACACCATCGTCTTTTTCTAATTTAGTATGTGTTGTTGAGTTATCTTCTATCTAGAATCTACTTCCGGCTAGCAGCCTGCTGTAGAGAAAAAGTGGGATGGTCCTTCCTGCCCAGGCAGAATAAGGGAAGAAGAGAACGGGGGAGAATACAGTTTTAATTTGAACTGGTACCATCATAAGCTGGCTTTAAGCCCTCTAGACCTGCAAATGTTTGAATTTCACTCTTTCTCCCTTAATAATTCATATCCCTGGGGACTTCTGTCATAGTTTCCTTAAAGTGGGTAGAGATAGCGCTTCCAGGTTGATAGCTCTATTGCAGGTTGTATAGAGCACCCTTGACATAAATAACTACATCTTAGAAAAAGACCCCATTTACATTTCAAAAGGAATCATGCCAAAAGGGACCAAATGTTCACCTAATCAATAGAGACTCCACCCAACCAGATAAGGACATAACCAGGCACAATCTTTACTTTCAGCCATCACCAGAGGACTCTGAGGCTATAAAAAGAGTAGAACTTCACCAGCTCGAGATAGCCATCTTAACAAACACTGTCTTGCTGTCACTCATGATCAGCATCCAGCATCTGCCACCAAAGGCTCTGCTCAAATCAAAAACTCTTCCTTGCAAAGTGTTGATATCCGTCCTGATCAGCCCAGGACACTCTGTCCATGTTGCTCTCCTTAGACTGGTTCATTAACCCCATTTTCCTAACCCTTCTCTTGATGTTAAATGTTATTTTGGTTTGGAATCTTTAGCCTATAATATTTATGTGTTGATTAAGTATACTACTATATATGGTTTGCAATATTGACTGACTTGTGGAGTGGCTGGAGCTTTGTGTCCTTGGCTCTGACTACCAAATGAATGGGTAGTACTAAGGAAAATTACCTCCTTCGGACCTTTATACAGCTCATGGCTTTTACAATTGAAAGAGCATCAATAAAAAAGTCTGACTGTGGAAAGACACAAACTTTCAGGGACTTGGGCCTCTAACAGGTAATCACTTATCTCCTCCACAAGTCCTCTAACAGGTAATCACTTATCTCCTCCACAAGTCCTACAGCATACTGAGGTACACTTAATTATGCCTTTTCCTTCTGAGGTCTTGTGACTTTCTTCTAGAAACTCACTTAAATTGGAGGAGAGGTCTAAGAAAACTCCAAGCCAGTTCGTTCCCTTTCTTCAAATAGTCTAAATCCCCTCTGTAGGAATGATGATACATATCCTGCACTAACAACTTTGGGAACACAGGCCAATCCCAATGTAGCTCCATTCTACTAGTTTTACAATCAAAGGAATCAGCCCTTCTTGATTATACCCAAGAAAGTCAGCCCCTGACCCCACAGTTCACTGTAGTTCTCTCTACTGGGTCAGACACTAGCCCTCTCTCAATTTCAGGGGCCATATTTCAAATTCTCCAAGTAGCTCCCTTGAGGCCTCCTTTACTAGGCTAAAGGTTAGAAGGTAACACCCCACTACAACCCACCCACTCCTCCACTCCACCCACAAACACACCACTCTTTGGAGTTAAGGATGGAATTCCACAGATCAGCAACAGTTCTCATTAAATAAATCTGTTCATGAACCTTCTCTTGCTAATACATTTGTAGAAATTTTATTTGCCTGAGTGGTCTAAGAGTTATAGAATAAATTCTTGAATCCCTTTTGAATTATGCATATAAGAGAGAATTCAAAATTAGAATGCAGACAAGTAAATATAAAAATCCGGCCCTCCTCCGTGGAAGCCCTGAGGCCTCCATTTTCTCTGGGGACGGAATCCAGGTCTCCTGCCCACCTGGAGGTGAGAAAGGGATCCCAGAATCAGGACCCAGTGAGAGAGAGGGTGCTGGAGCTGAAAGGAAAAATACTCCCCTAAGGATTTTCAGGAAAGTAAAAATTTCCTGAAATGTCCCATTACTGGCAAACCCTCCCATCTCCATGACCGCAAGCTCATGTTAGCCTGCTGGAGGATGAGATACCATGGGGAGGAGAGCCAAAGTGCTCCAGTTGACAGCCAACCCACACCCAGAACCAGAGCTGCCTAGTCAACCAGCAGCTGGCCACATATGCCTGAAAGAACCCACCTGAGCCCAGAAGAATGTCCCAGCTGAGCCCTGGCCAAATGGCTGAGCAGCTCCACCTTGAGCTAATAAGTCTTGCATGGTTTGTTACACAATAGCAAACTAATATATACCCAGTGTGAATGGGATGGCAGGATTCAATGACAGGTTGATTACTAGTTACCTGCAAATAGAAGGCACCCTACAGGTGCAGATTTTATTGCTCCTTACTTAAAGTTGGATCTCTTGTAAGATAGTGGTGAGTTATACAGAAATGCATGCAGATGTGTGCATGTGATTGGTGCTTAAATTACATAGTCCTCCACACCATAGGAGGAAACAGTCACGGCCTGACCATTGGGGCCAGCCAAATAGCAAATAGCAAGGTAAGAATTTCGCCTTTAATGTATTTCCTCCATATCTACACTTTGGAGGTCAAGGCTGTATACAGATCTGAAGACACTGAGTTTCCTTTTAGAAGGCCCTTATTATCCTTTGTTTACTGTCTGATCTCTGGATGGAAGATGGGCATCAGGTGGGCAGCAGTGGTACCTGTGGACACTTTCTTCTTGCAGCCCCTGCTTTCTAGGGGCAAAATCTCTTACCCTTGGGCCTGAGGAGAGATGTTGGGAGGCAGAGGCTGTTCCCTCACTTCTGGCAGAAAAGAGTGTTTCAGGCCCTTCACCTTCCTTAGCTCAAGGGAGTCAGAGCCCTCACAGCTGCACTAAGTGTGGCGGCCACTGGCCACGTGGGGCTACTGAGCGCATGGAATAGGTTGCTCTGAACTAACATATGCTGAAAACTTAAAACATAGACAGAATTGCCAAAATTTAGTACCAAAAGATATACTTCATAAACAATTATATATTGATCACATATTAAAATGATAATATTTTGGATACATTGGGTCAAATAAATTATTATGATTAAAAAATCTTCCCTACTCCTTTAAATTATATATGAAATTGGAGCTTTTACTGAATCTGGACTAAATATTTTTAACATTTGATGTGCCCTTTATTGAATTAAGTCCATTTAATAAACTGGTTGCCTCTGACTACCAAAGTTATATTGGGCAGTTGCTTGACTTTTAGGTCAGAAAGCCTTATATTTCTGTGTTGCTGATAAGAGCTACCGGTTACAAGGGAATAGTAATTTGCATCAGCAAAATGAGTAGAGGGAGAAGAAAAAGTCATTTTGGGTAGGTAGCAGCATGCATATCAACCTTGTCTTTATTCTTAAGTCTAGTCATTTAACATATAGATCAGACCAGCAAGGACTGAACACATTCTCTTGAATGATGTTTTTTAATCTAAAAAGCTCTGAATCAGACCAGAGTTTTTTAAAAATAATATTTTTATTTGTTTTGTATAATTACAAAGGGAATAAATGCTTATTTACAAATATTTCAACCATGAATAATTTAGAAATAAAAATGGTTCTTACAAATTTTCACAATCTTTCCTACCCTAAAATACTTCTCTTTGAGAGCTTCCGGGGCTTTTTGTATGCACATTCTGATGTGTTCAGTGAGAATGTAGAAAACTAATAGCTCTTTCCTGTTCAACTGTAGTTACTGTAGAATGTACTTAATCCCTCACCCAGCAACTCATGGAAACATACCAGAATTTCTGGGGACTCTGTTCCATTTTAAGTTCAAAGAAATGGTCATAAAAAACTAGTCAACCCCAAGAGGTTTATTAAGAGAAGGTATCTGTCATGCCAGACCCCTGTTGACTTCAGTAGGAGTGGCACTATGTTCAAGAGGCCAAAGAAGAGACCTAGAGCCAGGAAGACATAGGGGTTATTGAATTGAGGAACTTACATATAAGAAGAACATAGAGAAGAAACACTACCATTTGTGAAAAGCATGCAGTTTATACAGCATTTTCACTTAGCACTCTCCCGCTAACAACCACCTGGCAACCTTCATTTAACCCAAAACAAAAGGCTTTAATCCCCTATATGGCCTGTGTTCACACAATGGGCCAGAAGTTCAGATATTCCTCATGAATGAGGAATAAATCTTTGGATTGGCCACTTCTGGACTCTGTAGCTTGGAACTGTGAACACACATTCTTCTCAGACCATAAAGTCTTTCTCAGAGTATGCTCAAGTTAAGTTATTGCTGTCAGGTGTGTCTGCCATAGAACATTCCAGAAAAACTTCTGTCAAAACCTAGATCCCTTGGCAATATTAAGAGAGCTAATGGCCTGTGAAGAAAAGCAAAGTTTATGAAAGAGCAACTATTTCTGCCCTCATTCCTCTATCCCTCAGCTATTGAATGGTTCCCCTCTTCTAGAGCCAGCTGAGGGAAGACACAGAAAAGAATTACCCATAAAGTTGAAAGGAGGGTGTGACCTGAATTTTGGGAGAGGCCCTGCCTCTTGTAAC